TCATGTCAAGAATAAAAATACTTTTGTCCATCAAATAGTTTGCATATTGTACTTGCATCAACCTTGCACAATCTATAGTTTTTCAATATTCCTGTATATTGTATCTGGTGTTTACTTTCTTTTACCATGAACTCTCGCTAAATAAGCAATGTCAGGTAAGATGAGTAGTTGATAACTCTGACATCAAATACATAATACCATGTTGAATAGCACTCTTTAAAAGATCCTGGTTGACCCCCAACCATGCACATAGGGTTAATAGATGTATGTATTAAAAATATTAAGATGTTTATAAAATAAACAGAAAATAGAAACGTGTATATTTGTAATCAATGTTCCTTCATGTAACACCTTCTTGTGACCACTGACAACATCAAATATGTGCAGTTAGAACCAGACTTAGTCATCACATTCAAAGGACTTGCATCACTGGGTCCAAAAATTGTGATGGCCAGGGTAGTAGTTTTGAAAGCCAATTAAACAGTTTGATAGTATATTGTCCAAAGACTCATTAATATAAAGTGCAAAATAAGGATAATGCCTTTGTGGTAAGTAAATGCATACTCAGTATTTTCTGATTTTCAAAATTTTTCATTTATACATATTACTGGTCATGTTTGTAGTTTTGACTATAGAAAGTTGGTCAAAGAATGTTGCTAACTTCCTTTTGCTTTAGTTTCCTATTGTTCTGGGTCATGTTCCTTTGATGTTACATGCACTTTCTTGTAGGAAAGATTGCTGTAAGGTAGAATACACTACATAAAGATGGGCAATAATCTTTTCCACTGGTGGTTCAGGTGATACCTAGAAAATATTCTATTATTTTTCTTTTGGACTGTCCAACAGAGAAGTGGTTACTGCATGCAAACTAAAAGGGGTGGTATCACAGAACCTTATACATAATGTTATGTTCTTTTAATCTGAAACAAAACATTCTTCATAAACAAGTCTTATTCTGGTACACATCTAGAGCACAGAGCTAGTTAATCTTAAGTAAATGGTCCTTATTTCATTAGGTTTTTGAGTACAAAATTATGAGTGATTTTTACTTTGTTTACATTGTGTCGTCTTTTTCTTCCTTCAATTTGAAGTCAGATCTCAGATTAATTCTGTGATACACATTTTGAATTTTCATTCAGTTATTTATAGTTACTACCCAAAAGTTATATTAGTGTGTCTGAGAATAATACACCTTAACTTGCTAGAAAAAACATCCTAATTACCCCATGAACTTCCAATTGCAGAAAGAATAAGTTCTCTAACAGACCAAGGTATGCAGAGCTTAATCCAGTAATACAACTTGAGATCAACAGACCAATGGTTGTAAGCATTCCACCAGGTACCTGTAATATTAATGTTACCTTTGTTTGCTTTTATTGGTTAACACCTGTTTAGAAACATAGATTCTGATGTCTTAACTTTACAATTGGTAGCAGTTTTTGATATCTCAGAGCCTGAGTACTTCATGCAGAGATTTCCAAATTCACACAAATTTTTTATAAATGTACATTCACATATGGAAATTTTGGTTCAAAAGTGACAAAAGGCATTAATTTTAGTGTTCTGGCACTGTTACTGATATCAAATATCTATTCAAAAGCAGTTATGAGATAAATATACATATTTAAAATATGCAAAATGCCTTATACAAATTGGCTTCACCTTTGTAAACAACAACTGAGCTTATAATATCACATGGTTTCCTTCCTGTGAAGAGACTCCAGTCACACAACTATCAATAAAATCAGAGTGCTATCAGATTGATTTGCATATTCATGGATTAGCTGTTAACTCTTTCAGCACAGGCTCGGTCCTAGGGACCAGCCCTCGTAACCATTTTGTGCTTGTCATAGTTTTCATGCTATAACTTTTAAATTAGTAAGCAAATGTTAATGAAATTTGGTCGATTATCAGTAAATATTACAATGCTTTCATATGCAAAATATCCAATTTTTTTATTAAGTCTTAAGATTTATAAAGCAAAGTTTTTCTCATATCTTTTTCTTTTTACATGTTGCCTTTCTATCATGCAAGGTAATTTTAAGATAAAAAATACTTTTATGCATCAGAAAATTTTGAAATTTCACATGCGAAACCTTTATAATGTCCCGAAAGTTATCAAATGTTT